CATTCTGGAACTTTTTTTAAGTAACACTATATTTATATATAATCACAAAAGTGTTTCTGTCATCATTACACCAAGAAAAAAAAATGCACACGTGGGAGAAAGAAACCATGAGACATATTGAGATGTAGGGAGTTATAGATAGATGGATAGACCAAAAAAAGTGTGTGTGAGCCTCCATGGTAGAGCTCATTAAGCAGATCTGTGTCTCATTAACAGGGAGCTGTCTCGTTATGTGCGATGCAGGCGGTCGTCTCTTTTTTTCCCCTTCTGAAAGTGGAGCCGGTTCGTAGTGTCAGCTCCAGCCCACAGACTCTGCAGGTAACACCACTATTAAGGGCCGAGAGGGCACACGTATTTGAGCTGACAGCTTTTCAGAGCCGCTGTTTCCATACATATTAGATGTGCTTAATTATGTGGAGGTGGGAGCGAGGAAGATCACGGCTCGGAAAAAGTCAAGACATGGATGAAACGCAGTGACCAGCTGCATTTTTAAAAGACTGCTAGCATTATACTGTTTGATAAAAGGACACGTTTAGGGCTAATGTTAGAAATGCACATTACTCGACAGCTACCAAAGCAGAAAACTCTGATAATCTGATATGAGGACGGGCCCAATACTGTTTATAACAGCAACAAGTCCAGCTTTAAAATTATATGTGGGCTTTAGAGATGGGTCGGTATAAGATTCTGCTGGTATGATAAGCTTGTAATAAATTATCACAGTATCACGGTCTCGTGATTACTGCTCTAAAATGTCTGGGTATATAGGTTGGGCTCCTTCCTTTGAAAATTGTATTTCAGTAGTTCTGAAGTTCAATTTTGAATGACTATGGCAAAAAAGATAATATTCTTGAAACAAAGAGTTCTTGAAACAAAGAGTTTCATGAGAGAATTTTCAAAACTTTGGAAGCCCTTTTTCGAATGTCTGAGACTGACCAAGATAACAGAGTAGTGTGGAAGATTTCATGAAGCATAGCAATGTGTACAAAACACAAATATTCCAAATTGGATATGTATAGGTATTCATATATATATATATATATATATATATATATATATATATATATATATATATATATATATATATATATATATATATATATATATATATATATATATATATATATTCAGCAATAAATTCCATTGTGTTATTAATGGGATTCTGTACGTTTTTACTGTGATAAGTTCATATATTTTTAGCTTTGGTTAATAAACTTTAAAGCAATGTTTTGTTCTAATTTTTAAATATTAGGAAATAAATACTGTTTGCTATTTTTACCTTCGGCCCACATCCCTTAATCAAGTTTGGTTTTTGGTCGATCATAATAAAAAGTTTGGCCACCCCTGATTTAAAGCTATACGTAATTTAATTTCATTGTTTTAGTTCTAAAATAATATATGTCTTGTAATATCATTTTTCTTAGTAAAATTTTTTTGTTTTATTTAGGTTTCAATGCATTATTTAGTTTTAATAAATGTAGGACACAGTTAAATTGTGTAAAGCACGTACAGTAAAACACTTCCATTTAAACTGGGGATACAGAGAGTATGGAATTTATTGCCAATTGAATTTATTCATCAGCTTATTTATTAGCTTCTCTGGCTATTTCATGGCAAAACAAGATCAAATATACAACATTTTATAAATATCACTTTTCTAAAACAATTTTATATGTATATATACATGCATACATGCATACATACATACATACATACATACATACATACATATATATAGATACAAATAACAAGAAAAGCAATAAATAATAAATATAAGGTTTAATTTTGACAAAAATTTTACCATTTTTGAATATAAAAATATATATATATAGACTCTATTGTGAAGCCCAGCAGAGTCTGTACTTCCTTCGTCAGCTGAGGAAGTTTAACCCGCCACAGGATCTGCTCGTACAGTTCTACTCAGCTGTCATCCAAACCATCCTCTGCAACCAATTCTTCAATCACCGTCTGGTTCGGCTCAGCTGCCAAAACCGACCTCCGTAGACTACAGCGAATAATCCGGTCTGCTGAACGTATCACTGGCACGACCCTAAACTACACTTCAAGAACAGTACTCTTCAGAATGAGTAAAAGGGCTCGCAAAATCACTCTGGACGCCTCTCACCCAGCATACTACCTGTTCGAACTGTTACCGTCTGGTCGGCGCTTCAGAGTACCAAGCACAAAAACAGCCAGACACAGGAAAAGTATCTTTCCTCAGGCCATCTACCTTATGAACAGTTAAATATCCCCAACTGTGAAATAAATATGTGCAATACTTCTCATACGCACTTGTACAAAGCACCTTATATCAATATGCAATGCAATACTTTCTACATTCGCATCTGTACACAGCAACTTATAACCTGTATATTTATAACAAATCTGTACATACAATTCAACATCCAGATTTCTTGACTTACTGCATCTCTGTTTAATGTTTATCATCTTTTTTTCATATTTATTTTGTGTGTTCACTTGTCATTTTATGTACACTGGAAGCTTCCGTAGCCAAAACAAATTCCTTGTGTGTGTGTGAAGTACACCTGGCAATAAAACTGATTCTGAACTTTTTCTATTTAAACTAGATTATTTTTTTTTTTTCTCCAAACGAACAGTTATTTTAAAAATCAGGATTTTAGCAAAGCTCCAGATGTCACAGAAAGCACTTTCCAAATCTCAACACGTCCAAAACGTCACTGAATTGTGAATTCCTAATGGGCGTGTGACTTATAATTGCTCAAAAGCGCATCTAAACTTCCGATTGAAAGATCTATGAACAAAGTCTTACTTTTAATGAGAAGCAAAGCGCTCGCAAATGCGATCGGCTCGACACTTCTGGGAGGACCTGCTGTTCAAGGTACCTTGGAGGCTGAACTGGCTTAAGTGGACTTCCTAATTACAGCATTGATTCATTAACTCTATTACAAGTTAGAATTAATCGTTTCATTAGCACTCAGGCACAAGCTATGAATCATAATATGGAAGGAACAGGGCCCACTCACTAACATCAAGAGGATTGAACTTTTAGGGAAAAAGAAAACATTGGCCAATTGTGTAATCTAATATAGAAAAATCCATAAGAAGGTATTTTCAAATAAATCTAAATCATATTTGTGTGCAATCATACATGAAGACAGTTAGCAAGTGTGCATGTATGATTGATGTGCTGTATTTAAAAAAATAACAATAAAAACTAAATAAAGAAAATAGGCATTTTAAAAGAAATTTTATTTAAAAAATGTAAATACTAATATTAATTCCTCACCCTTATGTTAATCCAAACACATTATATTTTATTTTTGAAACAAAAATAAAAGCTTTTTTTCAATAAAACTGGGATTTTTTTTTTTTTTTTTTTTTTTGCAACATACATTTTTTTTTTTTTTACTTTGGAAATTTTTACATGGAAATTTCTCAAACAGTTTTATTTTTAATAATTAGAAATATCAAAATGTTTTATATTTTTACAATAAAATTATTATATTAGTCATGTGCTTTTATAATTGATTTAGTTAGCTTTAGTTTTACATTTTCACTTACTGCAGGTTAATAATTTATCCAATATTGATACTTTCTTTTAGCTGTATTCACTGATATTTTAGTATCAAGTAATTAAGGAAGTTTTTAATTTTTAATTTAAATATTTTATTTTTTAATTTATTAATTTTTATTTTTTGCATTTAGATTTTAATTCATTTTCATATTTGTTTTTTTTCTTATAATATACTGCTCAAAAAATAAAGTTAACACTTAAACAACACAATGTAACTCCAACTCCACTGTTCCCTTTATATTTTCTTTTGAACAGTACATACACAAAAAAATCCTCTGCGTAAAGTCCCTCTTTAAATAACAGCAAGCAGCTTGGTAAAAAGTAAAGCTGTTGCTTAATGATCCACTGCTGAGATTTTGAGAGATTCAATATATTATATTTCAGCTGATTTCATCTAAAGCGCTGGACTCTTCTCCCCATATACTACCAGTAATATGCACGCAAATCCGTCAGACTGGAAACGCAAGCTCGTGCGACAAGTTTCGCAGTACACTGCGTTGCAAAGTTTAAGCTTGGTAAACTCTGACCAGCGAAATTGCATCCCTTGACTGTGTGAGTACAATTGAGGATCTAAACATGACCTCGTTGGACAGAATTTTAAAATATGGACCAATCGCTCGCTCTTTTTAAACATCTAATCATCTTGTTTAAACCTGCCGACAGAATACGACTGAATTTTGCATGCTTAAACTCTAGTGTGACTGCAGCTTTAGGCTGTGACTGAAGTCAGTTGTAGTTTTATGTTTCTCCTCTGTGTTTCTGCTTATTAACAGCAGGTGTTCATCATCAGTGCTCAATCATCACCCAACTAATCCTTTCATTGTCTCACTAACAAATAATCATCATACCCTGTGAAAATCTCTATCTTTACTTACATTTCAAAAGACCTTTGGGATAAACCACAGGTTAGGAGAAGACTTCAAAAACATTTCATATGCTGGAAACATTTTTGACAATGTGATTTGATTCCAGGTTGAATGACAGGTAAAGTAATTATTTTCAAGGGGGTATGATGAATAATTATAAAATAAGATTTCTTTTACTGAACTGGGATGTTACTAACTTGATAAAGATAAAGCTAAGCTAAACATTCCCCTGTTTAATTCAAATATACCCATTTATAACCATTTATTTTGTTGTATGGTTCTGTGCAACAATATAGAATATTACGGTACTATTTGCAGGTTATAACAGTCCAAAGCACTTTACTCAAGGAAAATTGCTGTCGCTCAGTTCCACCCACGCAGAAGTTTGAATTCCATAGAATTACCTACAATGACTTGATGCGTGATATTACATACTTGTATTAAGTGTACAAACACATTCAGAGTGTGTACAAGATGCAATTTACTCAAAGAGTATCATTAACGCTCATGAATGACAAGCACTGAAGGGCAAAATACTTCAAGAAGTACTACTTATGTTACAGAATAACCCAACTCACCGGTTGGAGGTGGTGGTGCTGTTGGAGAAACCACAGGTTGATCTACAGTCAAAGGAGGCTGCAGGGCAGTTTGGGCAGAGGAAGGGGGTTCAGGAGGAGGGGAAGGGGCGGTTAGTTCCACAGGTAGATCAGAAGCAGGTTTAGTGATGGGACAGGTAGGAATAGACTCTAAAGGGGCGGCAGGTGTGAAAAGCTCAAAAGCAGGGGGAGCGGTGACAGAATCAGCAATGGGAGGAGAAGGAGTGAGTGTGGAAGAAGGAGGTGAAGCAATTATATCCACAGGTGGAGATGCTGTAAGAAGCTCAGATGCTGCAGCAGGTGGAGCAATGGACTCACCTGCAGGGGTTGATAAAACACCCACTGATTCAAGAGGTGGAGGAGGAGGAGGAGGTGCAGGAGTGGTCACTTGCTCAGGGAGTTTTACCCGCTCTGGCAAGGAAGGGGGTGGATGGAGAGTGACAGGGTCAGGTGGAGGAGGAGATATTGGCACCAGTGCTGGCAGAGGATCAACCACAGGGGGAGAAGCAGGAGGGGGCCTGCTGGGAACCCGGGGGCTCGGTGGGCCTGAGGGTTCCCTCATGCGGTCGATGACCTTCTCGGAGAGCTGAAAATGAAAAAGGATAATTAATTAACTTATTTATTTTGCGTTTTGGGATAGTACATCAGGTTTAGTTTCATGGTATATATATATATATATATATATATATATATATATATATATATATATATATATATATATATATATATAAATAATGAAGAGTGAGATATATTTAACACTATTAATTTAGTCAAACATTTCTATATATTTTCAAGTTTAGTCATTTTATTTTTCCACTTTAAATTTGCAAACATTATTTACGTAGTTACACAATTATTGTTTGCATTTCATATTTTGTTTCAATTTCTCTGGATAAATAGAGATGAAAGGAATATTTGGAAATTATTAGGTCTTCTTTTTTTACATGAATTTAATGTGACTAATTCAAATATTCTACAACAACTACTACAACTACTAATCCAAACAATAAAAAATAAAATAAATTACATGTATAATAACAACAAGTATTATTATTATACTATTATTATACTATTATTAAAAAAACTAAATAATGATAATTATAAGAAGAATTAGAATTAAAAGAATTAGAATTAAAGAAGAATTAGAACTAGAAGAAGAAAAAAAGAAAAACTACCTATAACAGTATATGTCATCACTGTCCTACCCAAAACATCTGCATTAAATAAACTAAAATGTCACAAAGTTATGACTAGGGATGCTCCGATCAATCTTGCGGAGATTGGTATCGGCCAATAATCACATTTTATGACTCGATCGGTACTCGCCAATCTGGCCGATCTCATGAACCGGTCGCAGGTGTTTATTTACGAGTTTACTAAACGTACTAGTTGGAGAGCAAAACTCGAATGGCCTTGATGTATTTAGGCTATATTACATATGTAAGAACTGAAAGTTCTGTGCTTTTGACAATATTGCAAGTTCACTAAAACCTGACTGCACATTTTATAGAATTAAAAATTCCAAACATTCCTGTTTTGTTTATTTTTATCTTTGCTTAAATTTATTTGTCAATGCTTGTTTTTGGTATAATATATTGTATGCAGATGTACTCCCCTACAAAATCATCCCAATCAAATTGAAATTAATGAATTGTTTCCAGATTTATTCATTTCATTAGTTGAATTTATACTCATTATCGCAATATTTATTTCAGAAATAAATTATAATAATACAGACTAAATAATACTAATAAAAAATAATTGTTTCATTTCAAGCCAGTTTAAAGCATTTAGAGAAAAGAAATTATAGAGGGCGTCACGGTGGCACAGCGGGTAGCACGATCACCTCACAGCAAGAAGGCCGCTGGTTCGAGCCAAAATCATTCCGCATAAATCCGCAGATTTTGAACAAATTTTGTGCAAAAATAGCAAAAATGTGCACAGATTCCATCTGGTCCTAGTTATAGGGACATGTTTAAGGCAGCATCTTTTATTTATTCTCTTAGGTAACGCGAGATCTCCACTTAAGTATCATACTTAGAGGTAAAATGTGCATTATGCATTATAAAGCTTGACGCATCAGAATCGGCACTCTATATCAGTCGATCACCATGACAAGAAATCGGTGCTTGGTATCGGCTGCAAAAATCTTGACTGGAGCATCCCTAGTATAAGCTATCATTATAATTATACATAATTATAATTAATTATGTATAAGCTAATTATCAATCATTTCAAAGTGTATGTATAATTGCACTTTCTTTAGGCTTGGTTTAAAATGCAATTCTGAGTTGTTTATGAAACAAAATGTCCTTGCTTACATCTCACGTTGCCTAATAAAGGTTAAAGATGCTGGTATTCCCCAAAAAGTCGTTTAATAAAATCTAATAATAGCACTAATATGACATAAATAGTTGTATGAAGGGTGACCTAGACAGTATATGATAGTTATGGGGTGAGGTAGGGTTTGGGGTCACAGTGCTGTTATTGTTGACATTGTGATGCTTGAACTGCAACAGGTTTCTACAAAATATTTTCTCTCAGGTCAAGAATTGCTTACAAAATAAACTGTATGGCAGCTTTACTTGGTTAGCTGAAGTAAGAAGTGTTCAATCAGGGTCAGAATGTTTATCCAGTTAGATAAGTTAAGACTATTAGAGGCCTTCATTGCGATCACAGTAGGTGAATTAAAGGCGTGCGTCAGTTTGATGTGCGTTTGACAGGTGGAGGAGAACAGACGTGTGTGTCACTCACCCTGATGCCCTTCACTATCGTTATGTTGTCATTCTCATCCGACTCAAAAGACACACGGCGCGTGCTGTTGTTAGCTCCCATTCCCGCACAAGCAAGCCCGCTGGTGTTTGGCCAGCTACTTCATGTAAATGTGTTCAGTATGAACTCCAGAAAGTTGACAGCTCTCTGGTTATGTTACGCGCGAACGCCAGGGCCAGAAACAAACAGAGCTTCCGCCTTTAGCCCCTCCCACCTCGCACAGGGAAAGAAAGACGATTCTCATTGGTTCTGGGCATGTGCTTGGTTTTTCCATTCGACAACATTTTAGATAAACCTTTTGGATTTCAAATAGGTTTAGGATTTATTTATTTACGCAAAGGGAATGCAATTATGGAGTACGAAACCTGCAAAACTATAAATAAATAAATAAATATGCAAAAAAATAAAGAAATAAATTAGAAAATAAATTAATAAATTCCTGCATAAATAAAACAATAAACAAAAAAAAACATGCAAATATATAAATAAATTCATAAATTACTGCATAAATAAAATAATAAATATTCAAATATATAAATAAATGAGTTAATAAACCCCTAAATTTCTGCATAAGTAAAATAATAAATATGTAAATATATAAATAAATCAGTAGTTAAATTCCTAAATTCCTGCATAAATAAAACAATAAATAAATACATATGCAAATATATAAATAAATGAGTAAATTCCTGTATAAAAATGAATAAATTAATAAATAAATATTCAAATATATAAATAAATGAGTAAATCCCTACATAAACAAAATAATAAATACATAATGAGTAAATAAAACCATAAATTCCTGCACAAATATATAATAAATAAAGAAATAGGCAAATATATAAATAAATGAGTAAATAAATCCATATATTCCTGCATAAATATAATAATAAATAAATAAAAATGCAAATAAATGAATTAATGTATATAAAAATCCAAAAATTCCAGAATAAATAAATAAATATATAAATAATTAGTAGTGCGGGCAGGTAAACAATTTATTAAATTACACGAATGTTATGGGAATAAGAAAATGCTAAACTTAAAGTGTATATAAAAGCAAATATGATATGATATGATATAATATGATATGATATGATATGATATGATATGATATGATATGATATGATGTGATGTGATGTGATGTGATGTGATGTAATATAATATAATATAATATAATATAATATAATATAATATAATATAATATAATATAATATAATATAATATAATATAATATAATATAATATAATATAATATAATATAATATAATATAATATAATGCTTTTTTTTCAAATGATTTGAGGTTGTTCAAAACATTTTAAAAATCCATTTTTGCAACAAACTTAATATCTATTTTAACTGTTAATGCATCCTGTCTAACAGTAACTTGAAGAAATATGCACCTGAGTTCTATGTGTCAAATGGGAGCCGTGGGCATTTAGAGACATGGGTCTTCTGTCCTTTAGTGGGTGGCTGTCTTTGTCTACATGCCCTCAGATGTCATCACGACAACCTTTTATCCTGCACGAGGTGATGAGAAATAACCTCAGTCTCGTGTCATCAGCAAAGGACAGTAGATTGGTCAGAAATGATGGGCCTCAGAGGAAGCCGATAAGAACTTCTGGACCTGACTAGGCTCAGAGGAGCTAAAAGAAAAATAACCTCAGAGTCTCCATGATTGTTTCCTTTTTTGAAGGGGCACAAAATTGGCCACTATGTTATCTCTGCTGTCCACGGACACATCAGTCAAAGAGGAGACTGCCAGATCGACCCTTTCCCTCACAATCAATGGCCTTCCCTCCTCGGTTTGTTACAGCAGAGATCGTCAGGAGATAGAGGATTGCAGGTCCAGAGCAATATATCCTTGAAACAGAAAGCAGTTAACAACTTTCACCTTCAGCTCCATCTTTCTCTCTCAGTTACTGTATGTCTGATGATTTATTAAGATTTTTTTTTCACACTGTTTTGTATAAGATCATTTAAGATGATCGAAGTGGTTAATATGCTTCACAAAGCTAAGCTATATCAAGGTACCCTAGTCAAAATATGTAAATATATTTTAGTATTGTCTTAAGTATAAAATATAAATGTATTATGTTGTTTTTATTAGCAAAATTTTGACTGAAAAAAGTAAAACCTGACAATAAATGTGACCATTAATTATTGAAACAGATTTAATACAGCAGAAAATATTAAAATCTACATTACAAAAGATCATTACATGTAACTGAATATAGAAAACGTTTTAGAATTAAATTGTAATCAACATATAATCTTATAGCAGGAATTTTTATATAGATTATAACATTACATTCATCAGAGAACAATTTTGCAGCCACCAATTTTCTTATTATTATTTATTTAGCAAAAAGGACTACATTTCCCAGGGATCCCTTTGCGTTCAGCTGATTGTGATGATGGAGGATTCCCATTGGCTGACGTCCGTCACGAGGTGTTTGGGTGTAGTAGCGGAAAGATGGCAGCTGACACAGGCAGATACAGGAGCGCAGTTTCCAAAAGCAAAGACCCCTCCGGTTTACTTATATCTGTAATAAGGTGAGCGCGGTATTTGTACATAGTCTTTTCTGGTCAACTGACATTTGCCTGCATTGCATGTCAGCGCTCATTTTTTTTGCAAGAAAATTGTCACGAATGGAGATGCACTTAGCATGTTTGCTACGATACATCCTGTTAGTCTTTCATATTATGTACACATAGACGTGTAAATTATGTACATAACTGCATTTAAAAAAAGCTTTTCTGTGAAATATCAGCATTAAACTTTACATAGTATCCTTCTGAATGGAAAGCCAGAGGTGTTCTGACTAGCCTGGTAGACTTTCAAAACAAATAGAGGCTGTTTCAAAACCTACTTAACTATTTACCAAAACAGCACTGTTTGAACATCATATAGGCACTGTCAGCAATTGTTACAATAACATGCAAGTTTAACAACACAAACTTGTCTTATTTATGTTGGATAAAACAGCAAATACAAATTTATATGGGATGATGTTAATTGAACAATAAGAAATGCACATGGATTATTTTTTTTTCTAATCTGTGCAGTTATTTTTAATTTAATTTGATATTAATCATTTATAAAACAATGTAATTTGTATTATTTGTATTTTTTGAGGTCATTGAGAAGGTAAAGAGTAAGCTATTATGATGATGATATGACAGGAAGTTAATGTGAATGTAGAAGAATTGGAGATTGAGGTAAAGTTTGTTTTAGGTTCACACATTCAGAAATGTATTTTTTGTTAATGATGTTTTATGTATGATATTTTTGTTTGAAAATAAATAAATAAATCAAATCAAATTCGTTCAGGGACTACTTGTGACAGGTTATCTGTATTGTTTACTATGGTACTTTGGATATTTGACTAAAATCACATGTAAATATGACTTTTATTCGCTATTTAATTGTCTGTAAACAATGTTGTTCTTTGATAGTCATTGGCGGATGATATGATTCCCCTATTCAGAATTTGCAAAGAATACTTTTCTGAAATTATATTATTAAGGAGAAAGTAAGAATAGTTTATATGAATGTTAACCAGTGCTGGGTTGCAGCTGGAAGGGCATTCGCTGTGTAAAACATGTTGGATAAGTTGGCGGTTCATTGCACTTTGGTGACTCCTGATGAATTTAGGGACTAAGTCGAAGGAAAATAAATAAATAAATGAAAGTAAGAATGTGGGAATATAAAACCACCTTTATCTGCATTGGAGCAGTTTTATTTTTAACACTCATGATGTAAAGCTTTTCATTATAGATGGCATCCCAAATGCAATATAGCATAGGAAAGTTCCTATTTACGCAGTAAAGTTGCCTAATTGCTAAATTCAAGTTCATAGTATTGCTAGTTTTTGTCTAAATAGTCAAGGCATTGCATCAAACCTCGACTTGCTATACACTAACTTTCTTCAGTTGTGCACATGTAAGCTGTCAGATATCCATCATTCAGCTTCACAGCTCTTTTATCTTAGTTTTATCCCTTAGTTATTTCCATTAGGATGTCTTCAGGGCAATCCAATAAGGTCATAAAAGTGTGAGTCTGTGGGCTGAAGCTATATCTACATGATCTGTGCTTCATGGCGAGCTTGAAGAGACTTTTCCCTACTGAATAGTGGCTCTTAGAGGTTTTTTCTATATTTTGCTGCACCTTAGAGTTTGGAATGAATGTAATGAGCTCTTTTGGGAGACTGCGCTGCCTTCCTTTACTGTGATTTAAAGCCACACTCCTTTGAATCAGGAATGAATCGGGACAGGCTTTGAGTTTGGGACACTTGTTGGATTGTCTGCGTTGTCCCAGCGGGTCTTTCTTTGTGGGTGTATTACTGGGCATCTGATGATGGATTGTGGTGAAGTTGTGTTGTGATGGCCAAAAACTCGACTACATCTGTCTGAAAGTTTGCAACATAATGATGACAGGATGAGCTTAGATTGGATGCAGCCTGGTTTCTCTCATTGATGCTGTGCTCTGTAGAAGATTTAAAGGCATTGCAGTCAATCAGAACTTTCCGGTATCCAAAAAAAAGTCAAGAAAGCCAGAAGATGATAGAGTGATGCTATCAACAATTAAACATTTATAGCAACATATGTTTTATGTAAAACGAGTATCTAAGGGCTGCACAAGATATTGATTCAGCATCATTATTGCAATAGTCACATCACAGGATCTGGAATGTTGAGTCGGGATTATAATTGACTAGGAGGCAAAGTTGAAAACACATGTGATTTGTGATGTCACTGCAAACCATTTATATATGTAAGTCTAACCATAAGTTTAACCATAAAGTTACCAAAAAACATTGATCATTTACAGTAAGGCCTAAGACTGTATAAGCATTTCAAGCTGGTTTAAAGCATTTAGACACAAGAAATTATAATTGCAGCATCTTTTAGAAGGATAAATTGTTTAGATGATGAAGACAGTACAGTGTGTTTTTGCATTTGATTATTCGATTGGGTTACCTGAATACTGTAGACTTCCAGGAAACCATGAATCAGTTATTAAATTTTTTTAAAGTCTTTGCTCAACTGTATTTATCAATGCTTGTGATTAGTTTATTAAATTTTATGCAGATGCATCCCCCTATAAAATCATCCCAGATGATTTTATCCCAGATGATGAAATTCTTTCCAGACCTATTTATTTCATTGGGTGAATTTATACTCGTTATAATAATATTTATTGCAGAAATCAAAAAATATTGCAATGTCAGATTTTTTTTTCGATATCGTGCAGCCTTAATAATAATAATAATAACAATAATAATAATAATAATAATAGTTTATAATTGTTTAATTTTAAAGCAGTTTAAAGCATTTAGACAGAAAAAAGTTTCATTTTTGTAACTTATAGAAAAACTTGTAATACTACTCAAACTATGCACTAATAAGGCTATGGGATCTAATTTAGAATTAAAAATAATAAAGTGTAATGTGAGAAGTTTGGAAAACCTTACTAAAATTAATCAAATATAGACCAGAATAAAACAATTAAATCCTTCTGTTGGATTTCTGCAAGAATGCCATATTTCATCAATAACATAAAATAACGGTAATTTTAGTATAATAATATTAGCAATAAATAAATGCATTTATAAATGTAATTATTGAATTAATATTATTGAATTAACGATTGGATGGAAAAATATTAAGTAAATAAATTAATATTACAATGTTATTACTTATTGTTTTTGAGGTCCTTAACCCTCTCAAGGCAGGCGTTGCTGATTTGCAACAGTTAAAAGCATAGATTCTAAAATTTTATTTGAGCCTGAAAGGGTTAATGTGTTATTATTTAATATAATAGTAATAATATAGTAATAAATACATAAAAAATAAATAATGAATGAATGAATGGTCAAAATACACTAATAAATTTTTTTTATTTAATCAATAAATTAATATTGAGGATAACTCAAGTATGGTATTTGTGCATTGTTTAACATATGATGCTGAAATATTTGAACATAATGTTTAGTATTGTTTTATGTGATTGTAACTGACATTAAATAAACAACATATAGGACCAGCTTGGTGAGGGTGTCTTTATATATGGCTTTTATTTTTCTTTGTTCAGGACACTGTCCAGTAGTGATGATGTGCAGGACCGAGAGACGGAGAAGGGCCGTCTGGAGGAGGCGTATGAAAAGTGTGATCGGGATCTGGACGAGTTGATCGTTCAGCACTACACAGAGCTCACCACAGCCATCCGAACCTACCAGAGCATCACTGAGAGAATAACTAGCTCTCGCAACAAGATCAAACAGGTTTGTGATGTTTACCTACTGCTAGAGACACCATTCCCAAAATGCAAAGTATACTTCAGCTGTTTCCATGACAGTCAATGTGATGTAATTTTAGTCATGATGAGGGTTCATGGACATCTTGATTTTATTGTTTTTGTCTGGTAATTTAAATACAGCAGTGCACGTAGTAAATGCACAGTTGCTAATCTTTGTTATACTTAAAGTTGTGCATAGATTATTCATCTAATTGTGTTTATTTGACTGAAATATGCATAATTATGAACATGAAATGTTTGTAGTTTAGATTTCAGTCACTTTTGGTCAATTATATGAAGAAACGCTTTATGATGTGTGCTGTTGTAATATATGTTGTTATTAAATGTATGTGCTTAATTGTGAAATTAAAGTAAACAGAGTAAAGTTGAACAAAATAAGTTCTAAGTAAAGTAAAATTAAATCAAATCATTAATCCTAAATGTTTTGTTTGTTTCACAGTAAATCTTCAACACAGAAAATGGACCCTCCTATAGACTCATTTGGTGTAGATTAAAAAATGAAGAATAGATAAAGACTGGTAACAAATAAGGGAAATGGGTAAAATCTATGGAATAAGAAGAAAATTTAGTTTTTTGCCTTTGAAAAAAATATTGGAATGGAGATCTATTTTATTAAACTAACATTTAATATACAAATGCACTTCATAGAACATGTATTAGACATATAGACAACACCATTTTGGAAGGACACAATATACTGTCCGTTTGTTAAGTGTGACGTCACACGAAGGGGCTTCCGGGTCTAAGGGCTCTATGAAACTGAATGGGGAGACTCATCAAATCAATATTTGTTATTCAGCAAGCCCAGAGATTGTTGTGTACACTATGAGGTTTTATAAAATTCACTTTAATGAGTGATATGAATAAAAAGTGGTCATAAACGAGTATTTTGTCAATTCAAATAAGCAACGGCTTGGACCCGGAAACAGCATTACATACGTCACTAACACGTCACCACTTAACAAGCGGATAACTGCAAGTTAATTACCTCTGCACAAGAGGTAACAACACAAGTCCTCAACCTTTCTAATTTTGACTTCAATGTATTAATAATATGCACCTTTTTGTAAAGCTGCTTAAGAACTATAATTATTGTAAAAAGTTCCAAAACAAATAAACTTGAATTGAATAAATACTGTTGCAGAGATGCTAGAACACAGACATTGAAATGGAAATGAAAGTATAATAGGGAGAAAACCAGGACACATTGATAAAAGTTGCTGAACAAACAGAATATTTAACTGATTAGGCTAATTAATAGATTAAGCTTCTATTAATTCAACATATATCAAATGATAACACCGATAAGAAGCCACATCATCTCAAGGCTCATATTATGAAGTGAGTTGGGAGAAAAGAGATGTTATTAAATGTGATATTTTCACATGCTTTCAGATGTAGCAACATATAAACATAGCCTTAGTTCACTAAGAAGCTACACACAACTGTCATTATCACATAATGATTGTCTTCTGTCTCATTATAGCACAATTAAAGCATTTGTGATTTATTGCCTAATTGTATCAGTGAATTTTGACTGTATATTAAATGCTGCTCCATCTGAAAGAACCAAAGACCTCATTGATGTTTGCACTTTTTTAGATTTGCTAAAGAGATTACAATTGCCTTTGAGTAGTCTTTGCTTAACATTACGTCTATTCTTTTATCATTTAACTAAAAATGTATTTATTTTATCACACAATTCAGACAAGTTTATATCTCCTTATTCCGACTTTATAATTCTATTTAATGCAAAAAGAGTTTGTCAATTCCTAGGGAAAAAAGCCTGAAGTGTGGCACATGCACTCGTGTACTCATTGGGGAAAACAAAATTGGTTTTTGCTTATTGATATTATTTTGAATTGATTTGAAAAGTCAGAATTTTGAAATCTAAAATCTAATTTAGTCGTTTTTGCTTTTATTTATTTTTCTCTAGGCTTAAAATCTATTCCTTCCAGGTTTTCTGCAACCATGATGCGTGTGCCTTCTGAATGTTTACAACCCTATAAATAGCCGATGATAATGCTTGATTTTATTTGCAGCATCTTATATAACACCCTTAAACAACAAAATTTTATTAACTTAAAATTTAGGTGCTATTTACTCGTTCATTCATTTTCTTTTCGGCTTAGTGCCTTTATTAATCTGGGGTCACCACAGCGGAATGAACCGTCGTTTTATCCAGCACATGTTTTACGCAGCGGAAGCCCTTCTAGCTGCTACCTTCTAGCTTACTTTTACTTAAAGATGTTATGCAAGTATGAAAGAATGTTAGTAAGATTAATTGTTTTGTTTGTTTGTTTCTTTCATTCTTTCTCATTTTTCCTTCTATTTTTCTGTGAGTTAATTTTTTTGTAAAAATGTTTTAATGCCTTAAAACAACTTTTGTTTGTTTGTTTGTTTGTTTGTTTGTTTTTTTGTTTGTTTGTTTGTTTCTTTCTTTCTTTCTTTCTTTCTTTCTTTCTTTCTTTCTATTTCTGAAATGTATTAGTTCCTTAAAAGACAAAAACTTACAGGTTTGTAGCAAACACAAACCCTTTGGGGGTTCCTTCTGGAACCCTGCTTAAAATCCCTGTCATTAGTCTGACGCACAATGACTTAATACATTTTTAATAGGCATGTAGCTGCCAATCACACAGTAATACGTCTTTTTGCTATCAGTTTGCTATATAGATGATCAAAACAACACTTTCACAGCACATGATGCTTTCTGTTCCTCTGGTCGACACCTGGCAAAGATGAAATGCAGCTGCTGCTATACTTTGTTGTCCACTAAGATAACCTACCAATACGTAAACGCACTCAAACTGCATGCAGCCTGATATAATGCTGTCTGTAATACCCAGGGAATGATTTATGAGGCATAATTAGAGGGAAAACAACACGCGGTAGCAGTTTGACGCAAAAAGGGAAATTAAAAGCAAATCAGCAGCTACTTTTTGTCATTTTTGCGTTTAAACGTCGCTCTCAGCCATGCGGTCTGATGGGTCGTCCCTCAGGCTTCTGTAATGATGGAGGTGTCAGGCTTTCCACACACACAGTCAAACTTGCCTCAGAGAACATAGAGAATAGCATTTCTGTCTTCATGCTGGTGAAGTATTTGATGAGAGGCGCCCAGGGACCCCCAATCACCATCTTAACTCATTATTATTTAAAGACACAGGTGACCGAGTTTGTTTATTGCACTCTTGAAAGATGTTTGAGTCAAGGACTCTAATAAAAGCGCTTCCCTTTGTGTCTCAATTTGCATGTGTGTGAGCTTGAGAGGGAAAATGGAAGACATAAAGCCAACACAGCCAATGGAACGCAACAATGTTCATTAATTTTGCTGTTTGTTTATCCAGCTTTGGGATTTGCTCACGTTTTGTAAGCTCTTTTATGAACACTAAAAAATGAACTAATTACCGCTTCCCCTGCCACCTAAAACGGGGCTGCGAAACATGGTGAGCCATCATAAAAGCAACATTAGGAATCACTAGTAATTGTCTTCGATGTCTGAAATAATATCCTTGTAAATTAGCCGCTAAGCTTGGGTTTTAATCTACGGCAAAATGTTTGTTTATCATCTTCTCCCCTGCTGCTGACACGCTTGAAAATAATTATGCAGAGAATAAAGCGCTGGGAAAGGAGAAGGGAATACACGATGCTCGTTTCATCAAGTGTGAACTTTCACCTTTTCCTCACGTGGGTTTCTCTGCTCAGGTCAAGGAGAACCTGCTGTCCTGTAAGATGCTCCTCCACTGTAAGCGGGATGAACTGAGGAAGCTGTGGATTGAGGGTGTCGAGCACAAGCATGTCCTTAGCCTGTTGGATGAGATCGAAAACATCAAACAGGTGCCTCAGAAATTGGAGGCGTCCATGGCCAGCAAGCATTACCTGCATGCGACGGATATGCTGGTAAGTGAATGTTCCAGTGTGTTAGTAGGGGACGTTTGATTGCATGGTTAGGTGCATGACACCTTTTTTCAGCTTGTCTCTGATATATTTTTAAAAATATTTAAAGTCTTTACCGTGAGCTTTGTTATATTGTGATGTTTCTCGAAATTACTTTCTCTATAATATTAGGGTGTTTTGAGTTATTTTATTTAACAGACCGGCACAAATATGCAAACAAAGAGTTTCTGAGTTCTCTCAGTCTGCTCTCATGTAATCCTGGAACACATTCAGTGCTGGGAATACATTGTAAAAGCATGCCCTGCTTATTCAAAATATATGATTAATCTAATTAAATTAAAACTCACCAGCAGTGGATGATTTTGTCATTAAGAACGAAAACAGTTTAATATCGGTTTCTCTGAAACTATGAACGATTCACTTTAAATTTATTTAGGCTAGATTTGATTTTATTTAACAAATCAGTTTGTGTTTTAGGGCTGAAGCATTTAGCGGACTTGTTTTGATGCACTTAACCTCAGATGTTATTTGTTATTCTTGTTTATCTAGTAGATAAATGACCAACAAAAATACATTAAATTAACATACAAATTATACCAAATACAAAGTGGCCTATTCAGTTATGCAACTCTCTTGGTTTATCTTTAGGTTCTAGGTTTCACTTTTTTCAGCACATTTTTATCAGGCGTTTAATCACACGGGTTTTTTGAGTACGCCTACATCTCCCTCTCGACAGGGGAAATCAGTGTGTAGCAGTGGTCAGAGATGACAAGCTTCCATCCTCCTGCTCTCTCAGGTGTCTCAGGTGTCCTTCTCCTCAGAGAGCTTCTCCTTCTTGTGTGTCTGTTTGTGTGTGTGTGTCTGTTTGTGTGTGTCTGTTTGTGTGTGTGTGTGTGTGTGTGTGTGTGTGTGTGTGTGTGTGTGTGTGTGTGTGCGCGTGTGTGTGCGCGCGTTTTTGTGACTTTGTGTGTGTGACTGCGTGTGTGTATGTGAAACTGTTAAATTCTGACGAGGAGTATTGGGACTGCCAACAGAGATTACGCTGTACACCGTGTTTCAATTTGCAACTCTCATCTGAAAACGTTCTCCCTCACTCGTCTGTCTGTTGGCTTCATGATCACACGTACACATTTATAACTCTGGTACCTGTCAGTCTGTTTTACCTCCCTAACGTGTGCTTCTCAGATGAGCTGTCATTCATTACCCCACATCTCTCCAATCGGGCCCTTTCTCTCTTAAGATTATTTGCTTAATCTCTGTTGTCATTTCCTTTCCTGTTTCCTTTCCTTTTCTCATATCCTATTTACTTTCCTGTTTAATTTCCTTTCCTTCTTCCTTTCCTGATTGCTTTTGTTTTTTTCCTTTCCTTTCCTTTCCTTTCCTTTCCTTTCCTTTCCTTTCCTTTCCTCTCCTTTCCTTTCCTGTTCACTTTCCTTTCCAGTTTACTTTCATGTTACCTTTTCTTTCCTGTTTACTTTCTGTTCCTTTCCTGTTTACTGTCCTTTCATTTCCTATTTGCTTATTATAAGTCCTGTTCACTTTCATTTTCTTTCCTGTTCACATTCCTGTCCCGTTTTTATTCCTTTCCTGTTTACTTTCCTTTTGCTTCCCTTTCCTGTTTACTTTCATTTCCTAATTGCTATCCTTTCCTATTTCCTTTCCTTCCCATCCGTGTTTTTTTCCCTTTCTTTTTTTCCCTTTCATCTTTCCTTTCCTTTCATTTCCTTTCCTTTCCTTTCCTGTTCCCTTTTCTGTTCATTTTTCTTTCCTGTTTTCCTTCCTGCACAGTTTAATTTCCTTTCCTGTTTCCTTTCCCTTTCCTTTCTTGTTTTCTTTCCTTTAATTTCTTTTACAATAATTTCCTTTCCTGTTTCCTTTTCTTTTACCTTACTTTTCTTTGACTTTACTTTCCTGTTTCCTTTCCTTTTACCTTACTTTTTTTACTTTACTTTCCCCTCCTGTTCACTTTCCTTTCTATTGCTGTTTATATTTGCTTTCCTTCAATGGCATTTTCTGTTTATTTTTTCTTTGATTTTCCATGCCATGTTTTACATTCATTTCCTTTTTTATGTTTTTCTTTTGTGTTCATTTTTGTGTTACCTTTCATGTTCATTTTGCTTTTCCTTCTTTTTTTTGTTCCACTTCCTGTTTCTTTTTCATTTTCCTTCATTTTTTAATCCTACTATTTTCTTTTACTATTTAAAATACTTATATGTTCTTTTCCAGGCATATGAGGTGCGACCAGCCATTCAAGGACAAAAAAATAAATAAAACAAAGTCTCTGTGACTGTAGTTCAACAGACACACATTAGGCCTATGACGTGAACCAATCAGAGATAGTGAAGGGCTGCAGTAGGTTACCATCTTGTAGAATTAAATAAAGATCTAACCAGAATGTTAGTTAATTATATACAAGTCAATATTGCCTATATGGACGTTGATTAAAAAAACTGAACTTGTAAAACTGCGGTGTTAAATGCAATGCAGTCAAAAATTTGGGTACACCTATCTTTTGGCCTGGTGCAACTAAGAAAAAAGTTCAACCGGTGCAAAAAGTTAGTTTAGACTCCTGTTTTACCTTTTTTATCTTTCTCTCTTTTCCTTGCATTCTTTTTCTCTTCCTTTCTTCATACTTTCCCTCTACCTTTCTTTACTTTCCCTTCCCCTGCTATTTTTTTGCCTCTTTCACATCTCTCTCTCTCTATCATCTCCTAGCTATAAAAACATCTCCATTGCAAGTAGAAGTGTCCTCTTCACTAAACCCGGTTTGCCAATAAGACATGTAAACAGACACACTTACACACACTCTGAATGAACCAGATCAGCTGATCCTGCTGGTAAACACAGAGGCTCACGCTAGCCTCATTTGCATGAACAACTCCTTGACTTGCATGACCCTTCCTCTGTCTGTCAAAAGCGATGCACAAAGTGTGCTATAATGGCCCTCCAGAGCACCATCAACAGGCCATTAGCTTCCCTCTAATAAAGAACGTTCATTCACAGCCATTTTTGATTTATTCACTAAATATAAACAAGCAATATCTACTGCAGACATGCAGGATCGCTCAGAGCTGAGTGTAGAGGTAAAGGCAAAGTGAAGTAAAAACTACAAATACAAGCTAATGTACTAAAAAAGAGAGAGAGAGAGAGGGAAAGTGAGAGATTAAAAGAGATGGAAGGTGGAAGGGAAAGGTTGCATAGAAGATCAAGGCTCTGGGACGCGTAAGCCTGGTCAGGTGAATGAAATGAGGAAATTGAACTTATCAAGCACACAACCACTTCAGATTCTGATTGCAAATGCAGCAGAATGGCAAGTAGCTGCTGATATGGTGCAGATCCAGGACAGCATTAAAGCTAAGCCTGAGGGGACTACCTGGACTCGTTCTCCATGTTAAGTTGCATTTGTTCTTCATTTTTCTGCTTAAAAATCCCCTTGCACGTGTCTGAGAGGGAGAAGAGATAACAGATACACAAAAAAGTCATATGTATTTTTTTTAATCCCTTAATTCAGCATGCAACATTCTCTCTGTGGTGGAGCATATTTGTATATTTGTATGTATGTTGTATATTTATGAAATTTTATTTTAGCATACACATTTTTAGGGGGTGTGTATTTGTGTGTATATTTATTTATTTATTTATTTATTTATTTATTTATTGATTTATTTATTATTGAAAATTATATAATAATAATAATAATAATAATAATAATAATAATAATAATAATAATAATATCATTTTTTGGAAATGTACGTTTTAGGAAATTAAATAGTTATAAGGACATTACTTAAATAAATTAAATTATTTATCAAGATTATTATTAATCATTAGAATATAATTATTATTTGGGAAATATTTTGTTTATTAGGAATATTTTTTATTATTTTATTCATTTTATTTCTAGAGGTTTTATTTATTTTTAGTGGAAATATTTATAACTTTTGAAATAATTAGTTATTTTTAGTCACTTTACTCTGTTTATTTATTCATTTATTTAAAATTATAAAATGTATTATATTCAATTAAATTGATATTAAATTATATATATATATATATATGGGAAATATTTATCACAAGTGAGATAATTAGATAGTAGTCTTTTTATTTGTTTTTTTATTTGAACTTTTAAAAAAGGGATTTCAGTTTTAGAGAATTCATTTATTTGACATTTTATAAAAAAAAATAATGTTATCATTATTTAGATGTTTTTGAAGGAACAAAACAAACCTTTGCTGTCTGTGCATGGAAAAGAGAGAGGAAGCTTATATATGCATTTATTTTTCTGGGGATTTTGCATCATTTCCTCACTTTGTGTTCACTGATAAGCTCTGTCTCACGCCTCATTCAAGCAGCAGCCGCATACTTCATTATGCTCTCTGCAGGAAAGCCATACACACTCAGCAGAGTGAATATTCAACGCCACTGCGGTCCACCACGCTGCATTCTCCCTCTTTGAATACCTTGATTGGACGAGAGTTGTTATTGTGCTTTATCACTGTGGTTTTTGATGGGCGGGCGGGCCATGTGCTATTATGTGATCCTGGAGCGCAGCTAATCTAGGTGGGTTTACAACAATGGATACGCCTGGAACACTTGAGTTATTCAGCTACTAGCAATGAACAAGCTGCACTGGGATTTGAGAGTTCCGACTTAACATGCAAAACAACAAATACAGGAGCTGAAAGAGATCTGACAGCTAGATTTTAAAGTTGCCATTCTGTGGTCTTAACATTCAGCTAATTCACCATATAAAAAAAATGAGTAGGTCAAGGGTTAAGAACATAAGAATATCAAAACAAGCTGCACTGATTTAATATAAACAATAAAAAAAAACTTTTTTCACTAAACATTTAGCAAAAATAGGTTTATTAAGGAAAAAAATCAAGGAAATAACCCTAACTATAATTAAGAAATGCAATATTTGAACACTTCGTACTTTTAAATTAGATTAGATTCAACTTTATTGTCATTACACATGTACAAGGCAACGAAATGCAGTTTAGGTTCAACCAGCAGTGCAATAGCAACAAGTGCAGGATATACTGTAGGTTTAAATTATAAAGTGGAATTATAGAAAAACTATGGTGATATTTACAGATGTACTATGAACATTATATACAGGTTGTATTAATTATGAACAGAGATTTACAATAGATAGATATAAGTACAGGTTGCTATTAATAATCCGAGGTGTGCAGATATATATGAACATAATGATCAATGTATATGTACAGTAGGTATGTTCATTTCAAGAATAGTTAGTGTAATGTATATAGTAATGAATAGTTTGTTTAAAAAATAAATTCTAAATAATTGAAATGAGCTTCATTATAAACTGAAGCTAACTGACCTTAAACATCCACTATAATAATATTGCAACTAGTTAATATGTACGGTTGTATGTATTTTACATATTCCAAAATGCCTAATTATGTATTTTATGTTATGTATTTTAACTGATATTATTATTTTATTATAATGATTAATATTTATTTTAGTTTGTTCATTTAAATTGTAGATATTCATTTAATTTACAGTTTTTTATAGTTAAGTATTTATATTTATTTATATTTTTTGCCATTTTATTTCATATTTTATTAATTGTTTATTTAAAAATACAATGAATTTTCTACACTTAAGTGTGGCTAAAGTTTCCAATATGTTTTTTCGTGGTTATTGAATTTATTATTGATACCTCAACCCATTATTAAAAGAAAAGTTTTGCATTTTGAGTTGAAATTGTATTGTCATACTTTTTACACACAGACATTGATGTGGATGGAAGCTTCAGGTGTTCCGTTGTGTTTGCAGGTCTCTGCTGTGGATTCTCTTGAAGGACCTCTCCTGCAGGTGGAGGGCCTTGGCGACTTGCGACTGGAGCTCCACAGCAAGAAGCTCAATATCCACCTGGTGCTAATAGATGAGCTTCACCGACACCTCTATATCAAATCTACCAGCCGCGTAGTTCAACGGGGCAAAGACAAGGACAAGAACCGGTGAGTTACTGAACATGCTTCAGATGAAGTACTACTACAGTGGAGATCAAAATTACTGAACAATATTTATATATAGTTGTGGCTGTACCATGCTTTTCAAACAGTGTTTTACTAAACAACCAAAGCACTTCAACTAAACCCCAAATGTTTATTGAGTGAAAAACACAATGATCAAACTTGGAGATCAGCAATGAATGTACTGTTCAGTTCTGCTGTGATCCCTTCACTACTTGTAGTGTTTCTTGGCCAAGAAACCTTTTTACCAAAGATTTTAAAGAGATGTTAAATCAGGTTTAGATCAGGACTCTTTCCTCTTTTTCATTATGTCAGTGTTTTCAACTTTAATGAACTTCCTTATCATTTTTACTGTGTGAAAACAACAGGATAACCTGCTGTGAGAAGGTTTCAGTCAGTTCCGTCAGAAAGGCTCATCATCTTGAGAGCGTTCTCAAATGTTGATCACTTTTCTTTTTCTTCAAGCCTTTATACTGTGCTTTAGATCAGGGGTTCTTAACCTTTTTCACTTCGAGGCCCACTTCTTTCTCTGATAAATTAATGAAAGGCCCACCTGTTTGATGTTTTCTCTAAAATGTTTGTATGAAATGCTCATTTAAATCTTTATTAATATACATACATACATACATACATGCATACATACATACATACGTACGTAGGTATGTACGTGTGTGCGTGCATGTGTGCATGCATATGTTGTGTCTTCTATTACTTTCTATTATCAGCATTTTATTAAAAAAAATATAATTTTATTTTAATTTAATTATATGTAAAACTAAAACTATATCTATATTTACACATACACAGACTCAAAGAGAACCAGAGGTCAACAGGGAGATTGCAAAAGACCAGCTTCGGCTTTAAACTAGATTGAGTGAATGAATATCTACTATAAAAAAATATACAGGCTAATGTGAAACACCCTAAATCAGTTAAAACGCATCGATCTGTTGGCGGTTGAGATTACAGCTGGATATTATTGGGAGATCGCTGACAGAAACAGTGAACAGCTGCGCCAGAGCAGGTCTGAAGCTCATATGCAAGTTAATTTTACAGTCTATGGCAGAAACACCATTGAGCCTCGCTAGATCCTCCTGTATTGGAGCGCGTCCGTTATAAAACACTCACAGGACAATAATTTCAACAACTATGTGGATATATTAAATAGTTTGCACAAAAATACACAGAGAGACTTTCACTTCACGCATAGTTTGTGAATGAACAGACTTGCGTCTACTAGTTGCAGATGCCATCATGAGGTTGTTTTTGCACCGAGTTTAAAGTAATCAGTCAGAGAACAGGAGGAAGTGCATTACTTTCAACATTTTAATACAGCATATTAATAATGAAATCTAAAAATTATAGTATAATATTGAGAGTTAATTTTAATCTCGCGGCCCACCTGCTGGATCGCTGAGGCCCACTGGATGAGAATGAAGAAGATTTTATTCTCTCTGTGTGAAGTATTTTCTAAGTGTAAAGCAGTTAATTTTCTCTTTTCAAAATGTATGTAGTTTTTGCAACAAACATGCCAGCGTGTGTTAAAAATACTGTGTAAAATGATTATGCCTGCACAGAAGCAACACTAGAAGAAAGGCTATGCTGAAGAGTGACTGACTGTATAGAATAACTGAATATGTAAAGCACTGATTATATATGTTAAATACTTGTATGAAGCTATATGTGTCACAAGTTAGAATGAGTAACATATTATCAAGTGATTATGCTATCATGACAATGTATGTAAACACTTAGTCCTTTTGCATAAGTGAACTTTGGTTTCAAAACAGTTGCTGACATTACATAGACCTGTGACATCTCGCTGACCATAGCAAGCTGGCTGGGAGCCAAGAATAACAGGGCCACCCAGAGTAAAAACCTATCCTAAAATGGTTAAAAGTTAAAATGAGACACCTAGGGGTGTGTCAAATAACCTGTATAAAGATTGTGGAAAACACAGAGACTTTAGAAAGAGAGAACCAAAGATAGGAATTGTCCAGGAGAGACTTCAGAATGCTCTGGGGTCTTCTCTGCTCTTTCTCGGCTTTATTATGGAGAATAAAGTCTATTTTCTGATATTCAAAACCTCCTGTCTGATCATTTCTAATTGATGAGAAGTCAAATTATGACAAGAATCCACCCTTTAGAGCAAGGGTCTCAAACTCGCGGCCCGTGGGCAATTTGCGGCCCTCAGTGCAATATCTTGTGGCCCACGCCGACCGATGTACACTGACATAATCAGTGGAGCGGAGAGAGAGAGCGCTCCCCGCTCCGCTGATTCTATCCGTACACAGCGGTCACTGGCATTCCCCGCCCGCCGTGTAAACAAAGGGGCGGGGATACCGGTGACGTCACCACGCACCCCGCCCCTTTGTTAGACGCTGTGACGGGCGGGAAGTGTAGGAGGGAACTCGCGCCGGCCAGAACCAAGGTAAGCTGTTCCCGCCCCTGCCTGCCACTTAGCTACCTATCTGCAGCCTGCCACCTACCTGGCTACAGCCTGCATCTTATATATATTATAGGTAGATACAGACTGGCACAGACTGATGTGACTGGAGTGGGGTGGGGGTGTTTTATTTATAAATATATATACGCCTTTTTTAGGTGAGGGAATGGAAGTTTTGAGTGTGTGAGAAGTGTGTGAGAAGTTATTTTCCACCTTGAACTTCAATAAGTCAAAGTACAGGTCTAGACTTAATGATGATCATCTTCAAGCCATACTGAGGGTCTCAACTGCTTCCGCTCTAAAGCCAAATGTGGTTCAGATTTGTGAGAAAAAGCGCTGTCAAGTCTCTGGCAGCAAAGAGTAGGCAAAAGATGCCATGTTCAGAAGAAATAATTAAAACTGTTAATAATGACATTTGAGGACTTTTTTTTTTGTGAAATCACTTATGCGGCCCAGCCTCACCCAGACTTTGCCTCCTGCAGCCCCCAGGTAAATTGAGTTTGAGACCCCTGCTTTAGAGTATATTTAACTCCTGTAATACTATACTGCTGTTACTTCAAAGCAATTTTGATCTGCAGTATACATTGTGAAGCGCATGCCATTTCTTGAAATTTGATTTGTATAGCTTGATACAAATACTTCAAGTCTAGCATTCAAATCAAAGGAAAAGAACACACTGTCATGGAGCCTTAGTATTTGAAGTCAACGGAGATCAATAATTTGACAAAACGTGAACAACATAAAAGCCTTACTCAAAACTTTTGATTCAGGTTGTAGCAGTGAACTCAAAGCAATTACTTTCGGAGCGGCAAAGTCATTTCTCAGGCTTAGATTAATTTACCTTCGCAGGTTGCTGGTAGCAGGGCGCGGGGCTCATCTAATTACTGTGTGTGTACTTTTTAAAGAGAGAGACGTGCTCTCTTAAACCAAACATCCCATGAGTCATTGCTGTCTGATCATTAATAAGGGTGTGGAATATGCCAGACAGAATAACTGATCAGACTAATTAAGCATCCGGGCCTGAATATGGGCCAGAT